GGGGGGGGGCGCAGGGAACCACTACCTCTCAATAGAAAAATTAAAGCATTAATTAAGCATTTCCTGTGTTGCAACACTATAATCTATCCAGGAAATCATTTCACTCTTAGCTCAAATTATTGAGACATATTTCATGACACTGAGTTTAAATTTGTTTCTGCAACTATCACCCAGTGCTCATGGTTCTGCTTTCTGGGGTCAAACAGAAAAAAGTCCACCTCACAGCCCTTTAGATACTTGATCATAGTCCATATGTCTTGGCTAAGTCTTCTTTCCTTCTAGCTAAACATGCCTAGTTCATTCTATCAGTTCTTATACAGCAAGAGCTAAAGTCCCTTTACCATCTGAGTTGTTCTCTTCTAGCTCATCAATGTCTTTCAATCAATCAATCAATATATCAACTGGCAAGTATTTACTGAGAGTCAACTATGTACTAGATGCTAGTGATGCAGAGACAAAAATGAAACAGTCCCTCAAGGGCTTTCCATTTTATTGGAGGAGACAATAAGTACATAAATAAATACAAACAGTATACAAAATAAATACAAACTAAATCCTTTGTTGGGATGGAAACTAACAGTTGGAGAATTAAGAAAGGTTTCATGTAGGTGTTACAGAATTTTGAATAAAACAACAATTCAACAATTTATAACAGGTGGGAATGTATTGTAGGATTGGAGGACAGTTACTATAAAAGTATGGAGATGGAATGATGTATGTGAGAAACAGCAAAAAGGCCAATCGGGTCCAGCTGAATATGAGAAGTGGCATAAAATTTGAAAGATGGGTTGGAATCAAGTTGTAAAGGATTTTAAAAACCAAACACCAGATTTTGTTGTTGTTCAGTCATTTCAGTCATATCCAACTCTCTTCATGACCCCATTTGGGGTTTTCTTGGCAAAGATACTGGACTGGTTTGCCATTCCCTTCTCTAGTTCATTTTACAGATGAGGAAACTGAGGCAAAAGGAATTCCTGCTCAGTGTCACAAAGCTAGCAAATGTCTGAGGCTGGACTTGAACTCACAAAGATGAGTCTTCCTAACACCAGGCCCAGCACTCTACCCACTGCACTACCTAGCTGCCAGTAGCCGATTATATTATATTTGATCCTATAGGCAACAGAGAGCTATTGGAGTTCAGTAAGGAAGAAACGTGGTCAAGACTTTTACTTTCAGAAAATCACTTTGTAAGCTATATGGAGAATGAGTTACAGAGGGGAGGGACATGAGTCAGAGAGAACAGTTAGGAAGCAATTAAAATACCACTGTCTTTTTTCCCCTTATTATTCATTCATTTATTAATTTACTTTTAGCATTCATTTTTAAAAATAAAAATTTGATTTCCAAATTCTCTCCCTCTCATCCCTGCCCCACCAATTGAAAAAGCAAGCAATATGATAAGATTTGAAAAAAAAATTAAAAGTAGACACAAAGAAGTTAAAAACAAAAACAGAAACAAAAGGACTGTTCAGTTTACACTCAGACTTCCATCAGTTCTCTCTCTGGAGGTAGACAGCATTTTTCAAATTGTGGTTCAGTTGTACAGTCATGTCCTACTCTTTGTGACCCAGTAAACCAAATGTCCATGGGTTTTCTTGGCAAAGATACTGGAACGATTTGCCATTTCCTTCTCTAGTTTTATTCAGGCAGGGGTTAAGTGACTTGTCCGGGGGTCACAAAGCTAGTAAGTATCTGAGTTCAAATTTGAATTCTGGTCTTTCTGACTCCAAGCCCAGTGCTCTATCAACTCTGTCATATAGCTGGCTTTTTAATCATGGGTCCTTTGCAACTGCCTTGGATTACCGTCTTGATGAGAGTTGCTAATTCTTTCACATTTAGTCATTGTTATGGTATTACTGTTACTCTGTACAATGTTCTGGTTCTGCTCACTTCGCTTTGCATGAGATCATACAGGTCTCCCCAATTTTTCTGAAACCACCCACCTTGTCATTTCTTATAGAACAACAGTATTCCATCACAAACATACACCAGAATTTGTTCAACCATACCTCAACT